TGTTTTTTAAAGCCGAAATAGAATTAGAATTTCAGGGGCACCTGGATGGCTCTGTCAGTTAAGCATCTGACTCTTGATTTCAGCTCAGGTCATGATCTCACGTTTTTGGAATCGAGCCCCACGTCGAGCTCCATGCTAAGCCTGGATCCTGCTTAAGAGTCAGTCTCTCTTTCTCTTTCTTCAAAATAAAAAAAAAATTAGAAATTTCACTTTGAAAGACACTATCAAGAGAATGAAAAGCCATGCAGTTGTGACAAGTACTTGCAAATCATGTCAGATACAGGTCTTGTATCTGTAACATAAAAGAACTCTCAAAATCCAGTAAGAAAACAACTCAATTTTTAGATGGGCAAGATTTGAAAAACCAATTTACCAAAGAAGGTACACATATAGCAAACACATGAAAAGATACATAACATCATTAATCATTAGGGAAGTACAGATTAAAACCACTAGGCAATATGTGCCTATCAGAAAAACTAACACAAAAAAAGAATGGCATACTAAATGTTGGAAAGGAGGTGGAGAACTGGAACTCAACTCCCAAAATACTACTGGAAATACAAACTGGTGCAATCACTCTGGAAAGTAGTTTGGCAGTTTCTCAAGAAGTTAAACAGACATCCACCATATGACCCAGCCATTCCACTCCTAGGTATTTAACCAAGAGAAAAGAATGCATATGTCCATACAAGGATTTGTACACAAATGTTCACAGCAGATTTTGTAACAGAAAAAACTGAAAATAATCCAAATGTCTATCACAAATGAATGTATTAAAAATCTGTAGGATACCATTATAATGAACACTACTCAAAAATAAGGAGGAATAAGTTGCTAATATCTGAACCCGGATCTCAGATGAGTAAAAGAAGCCAAAGATTACAAACTGTATGATTCCATTAAGATGAAACTGAGAACAAGCAAACTAATCTAAAGTGATGAAAAGTAGATTGTTACTTGCCTGTGGGGAGGGGAAGCATACCAAGGGAAGAAAGATTACAATGGGGTACGAGGCAACTTCTCGGAGTAATGAATGGGTATGTCACAATCTTGAGTGTGGTCAATGTTTGAATATAGATGTCAGAATTTAGCAAACTATATATTTTCAATAAATGAAGTTTACTCTGTATAAATGATACCTCAATAAAGCTGTTTTATTTAAAAAAACAGGTATAAGGAAGAATTCAAGACAAAATGACAAATACTGAAGACACACAAGATGATTTGACACAGAGAAATACAAGGAGTACCTGAAAAAAAAAACAAAACATACCCACAGAACATAGTTCAGTTTCCTGAAATTAAAAGATATGAAAAATCTGAAAATACAGACTGAAGGAGCACACCACATACCGGAGTATTCTGACCCAAAATGCTCAACACTAAAACAAAGTCCAGAAAAATTACCGCACTTAACAGAAAATTCTTTGGGAATCTAGGCAAAAAGAGTAGATGGCCTATAATGTAAAGAAAATTAGATTATCATCAGAGTATTGACAGTAACTGTGAATTGCAGTAAACAATGATATTAACATATTTAAGCTATCAAGGACAAAAAATGAAAACCAATGGTTTTATTTCCAGTCCAAATGACCTTCAAGAACAAACAGCACAGACTCTTAACAATATACAAGAACTCAGGAAAGTTCCTGAGAGTTTTGCCTGAAGAATCTAATAGAGAATGAACTTCAGATAACCAAACTGACTAAAGATATTGACCTAAAGACTAGTGGTGAGCATCTGAAACAGAGCTACTTATAAAAGATTAAATGATGGTTAAGAGAGACTTCTGTAATAGTTATATGCCCAGATAACTTAGAGACAACTACGTTTCTTAAATGAGGGCTACAAATTGGAAAAGATATGAAATACTTTTAATGTTCTTAATAATTACATTGGTGATATTATTATTAGGCTTTTCCCCTGTTTCCTTGGAATCAAAATGGTGGAAGAAATAAAACACTGTAGTTCTGATTTTGAATCTGAACCATCAGTATGAACCATTAAGTATTTCACTAGTTTCTATCCATTAAAGAGGCTTGAAACAACGACCAACACAGCTAAGCAGCTCTTGTGTCCAGGATGGAGTCTTTAAAGACCATTTCCCACTAATAAAAGACGGCATGGCTTCTTGAGAAAAGGCTGATTCCGGGTCTGGGCAGGAATGAGCTCAGATCGTATTCTAATACCAGGGAGTATGGATACTATCAAGGACTACTAAGGTTAAGTCAAAAGGATTCTGGAATCAAATTAAAAAGGCTCCCACAGGACAAACATGGGACAATATGACCACCAAAAAGAGTAACCACAACTAAGCTTATCAAATATGTTTAAATCTACAATTGAAATCCATCAAATGTTTAAACTCATGATTGAAAGTCACCACATATGTTTCTGTCTATTCAGCACATAATACACACTTGGCATTAAGTTACCAACTGTTACCTTCAGAAGTGTTGTTCAAGGTAATGTCCCATTTTCAGAACCAAGTAACCTTTTCAACAGAAAAATAATTTTTTGAAGTAACAAAAAATTTGGGGATTGTTTTAGATAATCTCTGTATTCGCAACAGTTGAGCATACCATGTCTTGACATTGTTCCCAACTTCCTATATTAGATGTTTATAGGTAAGTTAACAGATCAGAAAGGAAAGTTTTTCCAGGGCTCTTTAATTTTCTTACAACCTCCTGCTCAGTAAAAACCTATACTTAGAATTCTAAAATCTCTCCAAAGCTAAAAACACAAGGGTCAAATCAATTGTTGGAGGTTTTTTTAAATGAAAAATAAATAGCCTAAGCTGTCCCTAATCTTCATCCATAAACAAAGTTCAATTTTTTTTGGTTAATGATTTTTTGCTACAGTGTTATCAATGAAGATAAAAACAGAACTAAGGAATTTTTATCTTAAGCAACCCCATCCATCCTAAAACATCAAAGATCTGATCTGCTGTCCTTTAAGTTTTCTTGTTAAAATCTTAGAAGTTACACAAAGCTCAGTTTAACAACAAATGGATGACAGAAACTTTGCAAATTTCAGAGTCAAAATTAAGGCATGTTAAGGGCACCTGTGTGTCTCAGTCGGTTAAGCGCTGGCTGGACTTTGGCTCAGGTCTTGATCTCGTCGTTTGTGAGTTCAAGTCCAGGATCCTGCTTTGTGAGGACAGCTCAGAGCCTGGAACCTGCTTCAGATTCCATGTCTCCCTCTCTCTCTCTGCCCTTCCCCCACTCACACTGTCTCTCTCTCTCTCAAAAATAAACATTAAAAAATAAATTAAGGCAAGTTTAAGTAACAAAAACAAAGGCTAAAGCTTTATAAACACCAGCTACTTTATAATAAATTTAAAAATACTTTCCGAACACTATAAGAAATCTAATACCCCCATATTAATATAAAACACTATTAGTAAATATAAAAACATTGGGGGCGGGGGGAAGGAGTAAGGTGGGGGACCCTGTTTAAGACCCCTATCAAGACAAAATAACTGACATAAAAATCAGATTAAGTTTTCCTAGCCAGGTGGTTATCCAGACAGTATATTAAAAACATTTCTTTCAGAAGTTTTCAACTATTTACACATTTACAGCCAATGAAATTTATCTAAAGGGAAGACAGTTTGACCAGACATGATAAGAAGAGGTTTTAAGTATTTATCTCCAAATAGTTTCATATACTTTTGTGTATCAAAACCCTGAAAGTAAAATGCCTTTCCTCTTGATATTCTAGAGGGGTAAGTTCAGACCAACTAACAATTCAAAAGAAACAGTAGCAATCTGAGTACATACAATTTAGGGATTAATTTATTTCTGAAAGCTGGCATCTAGTCGTTTTGTTTTTAAGTGTATCTGTATAAATACCAGTGAGTTATGTTCCATCAGATTTTAAAATTAAGATGCTCTAAGAAAGACTAATTCAGAGGCAAAAATGATTTTTCCCCCTAAAGGGTCCATTTTTTAAGTGGAATAACTAAAAAAAAAAGATTGACTACATCACAGTCACATTCTTAAGCTGGTCATTTTAATAAAGGACTACACAGGTTCAGCTTGTCTACATGACCACTTTATCAGAGTATCTTTTTCCTTTCTAAAATTAGGCTAGTTATTAGAAGGCTACATACACTACAGACACAAAAAAATCTTGAGAAATGAACATTGGCTAATAAAGCCAAAGAAAGTATACCTTACTTAGTAAAGATTACACTATTATAGGCCTCAAAAGAAACTGTAAAAATAGGACATAAGGGAGCCAAAAGAACGCTCATTTACTAACAATGCACCCAAAGAAATGTACAAGGAAGTCACTAACTTGCACTACTGTCTACAAATTAACTTGGTGATGGTGAAAACAACTCCTGCAACACCAACCACACACACAATGAAACGGATCGATCTTTTTGAAAATGAACTTCATAGTGTAAGTTTCAGATTCACAACATTTGGAAACAAGCCTAATAAAATGCTGAGCATATGTAACAAGTTAGCTATCCTAGAAAGTTTACAGGGCAGTCAAAATTGTAGCATCTGGAATTTGTCAGATAATCACCCTAAGTCCTCAAGAGAATAAATAGAAATGACACTTCAAACACTCATCTATATAAATATGACAACAAAAGGCTGGATACAGGACAATATTGGAAAATACCACCAAAAAAAAAGAAAAAATCTGAGAAAGAATCAAAGCCACAAAATTTTGGAAATAAGCCTGTTTGTTATAGCCAAAAGGGTCATAACGGACAGGATAGGCATTCTTTTCTCTAGCTCTTCAGACTAATAAATTCTCAACGTACAGAAGCATAGATATGAAGAAAACTTCAACAAATTTTTAAAATTCATTACAGAGTATGCATAAACTATATGCATTTAGTAAATGCTTCAACTAACTGCAGCTTGTGCAGCTTAGACAGATGTATTATTCAATTCTTCTGAAATACAGTTTTTTCCCTTTCCTTAACAATCCTGAATGATGCACGGGACCACAACTAATACGTGTTTTCAACTCACATTGTTTCTCCAGTCTTGGCTACATGACAAAGAAACTGATCCAGAACAGGACAAACTTCCTTTTTTCCCCTCTTCTCAAAATCTAGACAAGGGAAGAAAGAAAAGTTATCAGTGTATCTCAGAGTCCAGCAACCATTTCCAGGGCACTACAAACACAAACTTTCCTCCCAGTCCTTCCTCAAATACTAAGAATTATAAAAAGAAAAAAAAAAAATCCGCCTCTCAACCAAATATCTACCTCTCACTCTCAAAGTTCTACTTGCAACATGTGTCCCTTCACACGTGACAAGAATCCCCGTAAAGGGGGCACTCAACCTCTCCACAAAACCTTAACTCGGTGTTTCTCAAAGTGCGGTCCGAAGAACACCAACCTCAGATTTACCTGGGAAATCAGTTCAAATCCAAATCACAGGCCCCAACCTCCACACACTGTTTATGAGGGTTAAGTTCATAAACCCGCGTCTTAAGAAACTGCAGCTACCTAACGTAGCCGTTCTCAAGTGATTTTGGACGTCAATTCATAATTCCGAAAAACGCTGAAATCACACGCTATTCTAAGTTTGAGAACCACGGTTCTCAAGCCTGTTGCGTGGAAAGAGACCACCTTAGAACTAGGGCGCGTGGAGGAATGACTTCAGAAGCTCTGAAAAAGACTTCCTGAGACACTTTAAAGTTGCTCTGCCGCCCTCGCCCTCTCCCCCTCACCCCTACCCCAAACCTTCTACTTTTTCTCTCACCCCGACGCCTGGCGTACGGGGGCCTGACAGAGAACCGAGCCTGCCTGGAACGGGGCTGCGGGCCCACGACCTCACCCCGGAGGGGTGGGCGAGACGCTGGGGCCCCTACCAGAGCTTCCCCGGCTCCCCTCCCCCAGCCCAGACGCCGGCGGCCGACACAAAGCCCAGAGCGGGGCGGGAGGGAGCTGCCCACAGGGCTCCCCGCCCCTAGGGAAGTGGGAGGGGGATGGGAGCCGGGGAAGCGCAACCCCCCCTCCCCCAGCCCGGCCCGGCCCCTCGGAGCCCCCTGCCCAGAAAGAGAGGAGAGGGAGCTGCGAAGGGTAAAGAGGAAGGGAGAGGGGGCAGCTACCCCCACCTTTCAGCGCCTCCTGCAGCCTCTCGACGTCCATGGCTTCCCGGAGTCCCTCGCAGCCTCCGCCTCCCTCCGCGGGTCTCCCGGAGACCGGAACGCCTCCCCCCACCCCCCCGACGCCCTCCCCCTCCCTCGCACACACTCCGGCACGCAGGCGACCGGGGGGGGCACCGAAGGGAGCCGGGGGAAGCGAGCGAGAGAGCGAGACCGAGAGAGCGAGCACCTCCCCGAGCGGCTACCACCAGCCCTCCAACATGGCGCCCGGTACGTCACCGCGCGCACGCTCCCTGCCGCCGTCCTCGCGCCCGCCGCGCGCCGCGACCCGGAGCCCGAGAGCGCGTGCGCGGCGGAGGCGTGCCGCCCGGGCCGTCCCGCAGACCCAGCCGGCGCCTGCCGCCCCGCCTTCCCCCACCCCCCCCCGAAGTGGCCCCCGGCGTGCCGGCTCCAGGTAGACAGGTCGCGGCGGGGAGCTCCTGGCCGACTCCCACGATTGGCGGCCTTACCATTAGCCAGCTGTGTGATGTTGAGCAATTTACAGAGCCTCTCTGAGCCTTAGTTTCCCCGTCCGTGGGAGGTTGGCACTAGTACCGACCACCTTGTATAGTTGCTGGGAGAATTGGGTGTGTCCACAGCGGTCAGAGTACGCACTAAAAAAAAAATAATAAAGCACTCCGTGTTACTAATAATCGTAACAAAAATTCCTCCCTGCCTGAACCCAAAGGCTCGTCCTTGACCCACCTTAAAAAAAAGCAATGCATACAAAAAAGAGATGAAAATCTCGGGATTGTAACCATCTGGATTCAAAGCATAACTCAACTACTCCCTGTGTGACTTCGGGGTAGTGGTTTAAACTCACAGAGCCTCAGTTTCTTCACCTATAAAATGGAGGGTTGTTAAAACCGCCCCCCAGAGACTTCAGTGAAACGGTGAATATGCAACATGTAGCATGGTGCCTAGAACTTGTAAGCACCCAACGTGACTGCTGTTTTTATCATCATGATTGGGATTACGTTGCATAAGCACCCAGGAAGTTAAAGAGGGCGGGACCTCAAGTCCTGTCCAACCCTGACATTTTACAAATGGGAAAGTTGAAGTGTAGAAAGCTAGTCTGGCAAAACGGCATCAGAACCCAAAACATCTGGCTCCCCGCCAGTGTGTTCATTTCTACTACCTTCTCTTATCTGTGAGCTTTTCAAGGGAAGATACAAAATTGTTCTACCTTGTCTTCTGAAAGCCTAGCACAAAGCCATGAAAGGAAGCAAGGGGAAAAGAGGGAGGGAGGAAAGAAGGCAGTTTTTGACTTGTCCTAGAAGGCACAAATTTAGATACAGTCATTACAACTGCTGCTCATCTTAAAGACAATGGCTCTGATCCTGACCCTAAATGGCAGATGTAGGCAAAAGCTCCCCCAAACCCAAAATACTTTTCATTTTGCCATCAGAGAACCAGTCCCTGGTGTCTTTAGACCCTTTCATTGTTCAGAGCATTCTGCTAAATAGCCTTGTAGGGGAATGTATTAAGGTAGGTGATGGCATCATCGAGTACACATGTACCATGCACTTACCATGAGTTAGTTTATCATGGTCCCTTCCAGTCTAAGGGGGCCTATTCTCGAGATAGCAAACCTTAGCTTCCTCTTCTCCCTACCACCCTGTGCTCTATTCAGGTGCGTCTCTTTCTTGTAAGACCTGTGTGGGACTATACACTTCCTGCTGGCCATGTGTGGGTATTTAAATTTTGATTAATTAAAATTGTTTTAAATTTAAAATTCGGTTCTTGAGTTTTTTGATAAAATTCTTTTCCTCAGTCACACTAGCCACATTTCAAGAGATCAGTAGCCACATGCGGCTAGTGGTTTCTGTATTGTCCAGCACAGATCAAGAAAAGCCCATGATCACAAAAGGTTCTCTTGGAACCTTCTATTAGAGCACATACCATGCTAATTTCTCCCACCTTCCTTTGCCCCTTGTCAACAGCTGTTCTCCTCACCTGGAGATGCTTGACTTCCAAATGCTGGAGGAAGTCTATGATAGGAGGCAAAGTGCACAAAACAGGGACAGCCTAAGGGAATCAGAGAAAAGTATCCCAAGAGGAACTGTTGTTGAAGTTGAGGCCTGAATTATGGGAACAAGCTACCCAAATGAAGTGGAGGGGGGAAGCTTGCAAACAGGAAAACCATAGGTGCACAGGCTTTGAAACAAAGAGCTAGGTGGTTTCTGAAGAGTCCTGCGAATTTCAGTCTGCCCTAATTTGAGAGTCCAAGGGCTACAGAGGCAAATCGTGAGGCTGAAGCATTACTTCCTTGGTTTCATTTTTTCCTTCTTCCTGGCAGTTCTCCTCTGGCCAGCAGGCATCCCAGTCTCCGAGATTGCTAGAGCCTCCTACTGCTTCTAATGCCCTTGGAGGAAAACAGAATACCAACGTGACAACCAACCTCCACCACTGCCCTCAGTGATCCTGGCCTCCTAGGCTTCATGCCCTACAGTCTTCTCCCACAGTGAGTGACAGCTGGTTAGCAGGACCAGCAAGGGATGGCATTGACTTCTGAAGCCAGGCCATAGAAAGTGCTGTGGCTTCTGCCTTGGGCTGTTGGATTGCTCACTGTAACAGAAGCCAGCTCCTGTGTCATAATAACATTAGAGCAGCCCTGTGGAGGGCGCAAGAGTTGAACTGAGGGCTTCAGGGGCACCTGGGTGGCTTAGTCGGTTAAGCATCGACTTTTGCTTAGGTCATCATCTCGCAGTTCGTGGGTTTGAGCCCCGCGTCGGGCTCTGTGCTGCCAGCTCAGAGCCTGGAGCCTGTTTCAGTCTGTGTCTCCCTCTCTCTCTGACCCTCCCCTGTTCACGCTGTCTCTCTCTCTCTCTCTCTCTCCTAGAAATAAATTGAAAAAATATATTAAAAAAAGAAAAAAAAGAACTGAGGGCCTTGATGTGGGTCTACCAGCTGGAGGAAATCCTTTGAATGACTGCAGCCCCGGCTGACATCTGGGCCTCAGTCATAGGTAAGCCCCTTCTCAATTCCTGATCCACAGCATCTATGAAAGATGAAAACTGTCTATAATTGTTCTCAGCTTCTAAATTCTGAGAAAATTGTTACACAGCAAAAGATAGCTAATGTGAGAAATGAGAATATTAATAGTAATAACTAACAGTTATTAAGTATTTTCTACATGTCTGGTATTCTAAACACTTTACAAAAATGACTAATTTAACCCTTGCAAAAATCCTGTAAGGTTGGTGGTATTACCTCAACAGAATAGAAAACAGGTATAAGAGGTGAACTAACTTGTCCAAGTTCACACGAGTAGTTAACTGTACAGGCAAGTGACTGACCCATGATTGAAATCTAAAGTGATTCCAGAACCTTGGAAAGCTTTCTTTCCCTCAGCAAGGTTGCAAACTACTCGGTGAGATAAGACAGGAGCACAGACTCTGACGCAAAGTAGGAGGCAAGTATTCAAATTGGGTGGTCAAAGGCCTGTGAAACTTCTTCCAGGACAGGGATGAAAGTTGCCTTTCAGAAGGGCCTCACTTAAAGGCTGGAAAATATTTGCACCAATAGAGAAGAAGCTTCCAGACAGAGGGAATGGGTATGAACCAGGCAAACAGTCCTTGAGGGCCTCCTAGGTACTGGGGAAAAGAGGGACCGTAAACAAACACGAACATCCGGGAAGATTGGCCCCTTGCTCTGAGCGTATGCAGGAGGGGAACAGCTGAACTTGAGAAGATACGCAATAGGAAACAGAAGAAGGAAGCAGAGAAGTGGGAGGCAAAACACCTCTAAACTCTGTCAGAGAACAAGCACAAGGATGTTCTTAGAGCCCCAGGGAAAATTACTGGAGTTGGGCCATCCCTTTGAGGTGAGTCTGTGGGAAGGGACAAGAACAAGGGACTATGAAAAAGTCTGGAAAAACTCATACCCCATCTATAAGAGCTGGAGAACAGGGAACAGGCTGAGTTAAAATATCACTATAGAAAAACATGGAGGCTCTTTGATTTCCATGGCCTTTTACTCATGCCTTTTAGTCTTTTTTTTTTTTAAAGAAATACTGTCCTATTTGAGTTTTTTTGTTTGTTTGCTTGTTTTTGAGAGAACGAGAGAGAGAGAGAGAGAGAGCACGTGCCAGTAGGGGAGGGGCAGAGAGAGAGGGAGACAGAGAATCCCAAGCAGGCTCCACACTATCAGCACGGAGCCCAATGTCGGGCTCCAGCCCACGAACCGTGAGATCCTGACCTGAGCCAAAATCAAGAGCCTGATGCTTAATCAGTTGAGCAACACAGGCGCCCCCATGCCTTTTAGTCTTTATTTGTGCATGACCGTGGGTACCAAGATGAAGCTGAGGTAGGAAAGTGAACAAAGTAAGGTGAATACAGTTTTCTAAACAGGAAAGAACATAGCTTCACGTATCACCAGGGTTAACTTTCTTCCAGACATTTTCAAGAGCGAATTGCTTTTTTATTGGACTTACAAGGAACAAAGGGTCTGCTCTGAAAGCCCCTGGGTTGGTTTCTCTGATGCCACAAAGGGTGTGGATGCTGGTGGCACCCATATTGGCCTGAAGAGAACACTTAGGAAATGAGACCGGCAAAGAGTAGTAAGGACTGCTCAAGTGAACACATTAAGTAAGGCCTGCGATCATGAGTTCACTTTATATTGTATGAAAGAAGGGGCGCCTGGGTGGCTCAGTCATTGGAGCGTCTGACTTTGGCTTACATTGTGATCTTGCAGTTTGTGAGTTCAAGCCTCGCGTCAGGCTTTGTGCTGACAGCTCAAAGCCTGGAGACTGCTTCGGATTCTGTGTCTCCCTCTCTCTCTGCCCCTTTCCTGCTTGCGATCTGTCTCTGTCATCCTCTCTCAAAAATGAATAAACATTTAAAAAATTGTAATTATATGAAAGAAAAGGAGAATGTATTAGGAGAGAAGGGTATTTTATGGATCCAGGACTCTCACCAAACCCATTTGCTATTCTCTTTTTCAACCCTGCACATCCTCCTCTCTCCTTTCTCTGAATCCGTGTTAACTGCTCACAAAAGGCTGTTTTCACTTCTGAGGACTTGCTACCATAACTGACGGGTATCTCTCAGTCACAGCCTGGCATGGGCCAAGTGTCCACTCAACTGTGGCCTGGAAAGCAGAGTCTCCTGGTATAAACCCGATTGCTATGGCCATGAATGTGAGGCAACAGGGCCAGGCAATGGAGAATTTCCAGAGAGGTGAGGGGAGTAGTGATCAGAAACCCCAAGAAATGACTA